ACCTGATAAGAAAAAAAGTGAAAATAACCTTGACATGTTGAAACTAAATTGAAATAATGGAATGAGATTAAAGTTTCGATGCCGATTACTGCGGTGTTGCTTGGCTACGAATTTACTCCACCCTCTTTGATCAGCCTTTGATTTGCTCCACTCCCCTAAAGCAGCAATGGCGCCTTTTCCCCGTATATAATCTTGTGCTATTTGTAGTTTCCTGAGAAGAATTGAGGATTTCTAGGAAAGCACTTTTTTCAAAGAAGACACCCTGCGCCAGTCTTCCTGAGTGAATTAGTGAGTGTAGAGAGAGAAACAGAAAGAGGACTAGAGAGGTGGGGAGGAGTGGATGAGGGGGCGACAGTGGGGCAAAGAGGTTGCGAGAGCGAGGTCCCCAGGTATTGATCCGACTGGCTAGCTGGCTGCCTGGCTGGCTGATTTTACTCCGCTCGGAGGAGGACCATTATGGATGTAGTCATACGGACATGTGGTAGACACGACGATACGTGCACGCCAACATTAAACTGACTCTGTGTACGTGCGCCAAAGAGGTACGGCGTTGGTGGTTCGCGTAGCCAGGCAACCCGGACTGATTCCAACCGCACCCTCAATTACCCAATTTATTATTCATATTATAATCACTCGCTGATAAACCCAACCGAGGACCTGCTTTTCAAATCACTGAATTTCATACCCACCCTAATCAATCCTGACCAATTTGGTCAAAAATTTATGAATTTATGAACTTTTGATTTCTTTTTTGTCTCAATTTGATATCCTTAGAAACATTATGTGATATTAAGGAAGCAAACCCAATCAAAACTTTGCGTCTCAACACTTTTGTTTCGTTTTTTGTCTCAATTTGATATCCTTTCAGCATCCATGAGTTTTTCTAAAGATATATCAAATTGAGACAAACATTGCTTCGCAACAATTTTGATACCTTTTTTGTCTGATCTTGATATCCTTACCAGCAATGCCAAAGTTTTTCTAAGGATATTAAGGAAACAAAAACGAAATAAAAACGTTGCGTCGCAACACTTTTGTTTTGTCTTTTGCTGCCTCGATTTGATATTCCTAGAAAAACTGTCGTTAGATATAATTTTGTTTTTTCCATTCTCTCATCGTTTGAGAATTAGAAATAAACAGGTTTTCTCGGATATACCGAGAACAGAGAATAATTCTCAAGTTGAAATTACGTAATCGAGAAACTAAAGCACTTGAAAGTGAAGTTTTCTCAAAGTATATACAAAACAAGTTCCACAAAGCTAGAAAAGTCTTATTAAAGAAAGTATAATTTTTTCAAAGTGAATGATGACCTTCGGTGAAGTACCCTCCATCAAGAGCCACGTAATATCGAAGCTATAAATGACGTGTAGATCCACTTTATATACCTTTGATGTCACATATGTGCGTCGTTAGTGTTCTGGATTGACATGTTGTAATAATAGGTTTCTTTCTGTTTATTTTTTTCGGGTGAAAATGGGGATGAAATCGAGAAAAATTGAACGGGGGAGAGGAAGGGTGAAAACGGCAAAGTCAGATCTCCAAGGTTCCAATAGGTGTGTTGGCTACAAACGGTTGCCAGGTAACGGCTAGGGAGGCTACTACCAACGGGTCAATACCTGGCTGGTGCTAGTTTACCTCTGCATGAGCTAAAACGTCACCAGAGCTACTCTCTCTTTTTTTCCAACTTCCCCTCTGCAGACTTTGCTGCTGACTACACTCCCCCTTTGGCTTCCTGGCCAACAACCCCACCCTTGCCACCCCTATGTACTCACATTAGCTCATCCACTCGTCCGGAGAACCGTCCAGCCACCAAGCTAACCTCCTGGACGTGAAACTTCCCGGAACTTCCAGTCTCGATCGAGTATATATAGCACACATCGCTTCACGATCCATATCTCGAGAATATTTGATGAAGTCACTTTATAGATTATTATTGATGGACAAAGCTGTTTACTGCTGTGTGTGTTCATGTGGAGGAACTCACACCGAAACTCAATTGCCATGATGGTCATTTTTAGGTAGCGAATCGATTTTATTAGTATTCAATATAGCTAGGTCTTTTTAAAACAAAAAATATTCAGGACACCGTTTCGGATATCAAATTGATGATGTAGATGTGAAATAAGACTCAAAATTTTTCTCCTTTAGAAACTAAATGAATATAATGTTTTTCAAAAATTTCAATACCTCAATATGTGGAACCTCGATTATCCGAACTTTCCTCGTCATCTTAAACACAATAAACTTTCACTTCTTATCCATATCTATTGGTATACGATGATCTCATAAAAATAAAGAAATTTTATTGACCAACCGCACTGATTTTTAATGTAAATACTTTAACGAAGACTCAAATGCCATATTGAATAGTGCAAAATAATTTCAAAGCAATCTTAATAAATATAAACGAAAATAATTGTAATTTCTATTATCCGAACGAGTAGTGGCGATAATCGAGGTTCCACTGTATTGTAATTTTTTTAATTTTGTATATGAAAGTATTTTTAAGGAGACATTTATTGCCATCTATCATAATTGTGTTGTCTGACGTATATGTAGAGCAATAAATAATCACTTATAAGTTACTTATAAACGTAGCATTTATAACTTTGAAGCAAACTACATAATAATATACCTAATAATGGTAACATGTAAAATTCATGAATGGATAAGTATACTTTTATACATATAACACTTTATATATAAGTTAAAAGAAAAAAGTAGCATTAAAAAAGAACCTTTATTACATCACGTGTGATAGTATAAATTTTAATTATACTGTAAAAAAATCTTATTTCAAAAGTTTTAAAAATTAATGTAATTTACAGATTTTTATCGCGGATGCCTCTAAATTTTATTCAGATTTTCGTCTCAAATATTTTTGTCATCAGTATACTTCAAAATAATTGAGCATAATTTATTCAATATGATTAAAAGGTTGTTCATTTCTCATGATCATTTAGCTTCCTCAATATATAATACACTGTAAAAAATTTAGGGAGTTGATGGTCGCACTGGAGTTGGGAGTGAGATTTTTCGAGTTAAAAATCAACTCCAAAAGGGAGTTAATTATTAAATTAACTCCCTTTTGGAGTTGATTCTTATTTTTATTGTGTAAATTTTAATTCCCTCCGCTTTAACTCCCAAATGGGTGCGACTTTTATAGAATCTCCTGGGGAGTTAAAATTTAACTCCCATTTTTTACAGTGTATATACCAATTGCTTAATTTTTTATTATAGAATAATTATTTTAAAGTAAAGGGTTCATACCACTTTGTCAACTTCAAAAAATAAAAAATTTTTTACTACGGATTTTGAAAGTAAAATATGTCAAAAATGTGGTGTAAAATTTCTAGAAAGATCCCAGCACTCAAAATATTTTTTTTTCAGTAATATTTGAGCGCGTACACGGGCTATGTAAGTTACAACACAAACTTTAAACAACGCGTTTCTTTTTTCCATGATGCGTAATGTTTTTTTCGGAAACTACTAGACCGAACTAGAATTATATTTAAAAATATTAATTTTTACTATTTTTTTAAACCGAAAAACTGCCCAAAAAACCTTGATTTTCGAAAATCTTTGTTTAAATTGTCGCCATTTTGTTATTTTTGGATAAAAATTAAAAATTCTAGTTCGGGCGATAAGCACAGTCCTACTGAACATAAATCAACTTGAATTTTGTGATTCAGATTTTTCTAACCGGAGAAATCAGTATTGTTAAATTTTAAATTAACAAATAATATTTTTTTAATAAAATAAGGTTTTTTATAAAGTTAAAGAGTGTATTTATTGAACTAAAAAAGATGCAGATGAATGTAATCCATATAGGAATCGTAAAAAAATCTTAAAAAATAGCTTTTTATTTCCAAGCGTGTAAAGTGGTTTCAAAAAATGCAAAATTTGAATTTTTTGTTAAAAATTCCGATTAATTTTATAAATATTGATAAAATATATTATACTTTATATACATGAATCGATTCGTTTTCATGTCAGGAATATAATATTGACAAGAATTAAGTAAAATTTTAATAAAGAAAAAAGTTATTTAAAAAAAATAATATAAAAATCAATTTTTTCAAAAATTAAAAAATTGCTATATATAAAGCTCCTTCGGGAGGAAGCAAAATGATTTATTTTTATGATTTTCTTGAAAATATCAAATTGATACTAATTTGATACAACAATGAAGATCAATTTTTTATTTGGTTCACATTTTTTTCACGAAAACTGTGTTATTATTAACCACCAAAGAATAAAAATATTCTACATTCCAGTGGAATACTTTGATTTTTAGAGGATTGTTTAAAAAATTCTTTGATTTTACTATTAACCACAAAAGCATAAAAAAATATTTTTATGCTTTTGTGGTTAATAATAAATATAGTTTTTAAATGATAATTTGAGTTGATTGTTAAAAAAATTGTTTTATTTATTATTTAACCACAAAAGAATAAAAAAATCTACATTCAATTGGAATACTTTTTTCAAGAGGAAAACTTTAGAGGATATTAGAAGAAAATTTTTCCTTTAAATATAAGATTAACTTTATAAGTATTGAAGAAATATTCTCTGAGTATACTCGTATATTGAGCAGAAACGTTATCAGGGCTTCCACCAACGCCCAATACCTCCCCTTTTTCCTACTCTTTAGATTGCATCCCCCACCAATTTCATCCCTCCAGCTTTGCCCTCTTTGAGATAACGGATCACTTCTCAGATAACCTTTCTCAATGACACAGATTTTGAAAAGCATTTATTCTAAAACATTATAATATTATTCAAAATTATTCTATTTTCAGTCTATGATACTTCCTTTTTCTAGACCGTCTGGTAAATTTGAAAAAATTCAAATTTGGAAAATTCAAATCAAATAATTTTGAAAAGTCAAATGGGAAAATTCAAATTTACTGAAAAAAATACTTGAATGGCATGAAAAAGACTAATTTTCCATTGATTTTTGGCTCCATCGATAAAATCGGACTTGTTTTAATTTACAGGGAGCAGTAATCAACGGCGCATATCTTGATGAATATTTGGGGACTTTGAGAGATCAGTATCCTTTGTTCGACTCTTCAGGATGCATAAACTTCTAAGGTAAAGGTCAATTTCATTGCATAAAATGTCCATGTAGGTATATAAACGAAATAGCGGATGAATTAAGGTTTGAATATGTAAGAGGCGAAATGGTTTTAATATGCATGAATTACTGACGTTTGATCATTTTGACCTTGCTTTTTTGTTACAAAGATAAATCTGTATAGCGACGCAGATTCGATTTTTATATTTCCGACCGTTTCTGAAGCGATAGAAAATTTCACCTTGAGCCAGAATTGTTAAAGGAAGCCTCTCTTTTACAGAAAAAAGTGCAGGTTGTTATTTGGACATTATTGACGAATTATTTTTATCATTTATATACTTTTGCCTCTTAGTTCTTTTTTAATGTATTTCTTCTTTCTTTTTAATGTTCTTTCTTCTCATTGATGAGATTTAATGGTTCTGTGGCGATAACGTTACAGCCCTAATTACTGGAAAAGATTTTTAAATAAACTTTTTTTAAAAATTAAATTCTGACAAATGTTCTACACAAACATATACACAAACACACACACACACACACATATTGTGACACACTACATAATTTTATCAATTTGTTATAATTAATTTTGGTTGTGCTCATGAAATTTATATTTATTTTTCTAAATTCAAAATTTTCTTAATGTAAATTAGGAATGCAGTTTCAGTTTTCGTCAAACCTTTCAATAACTCTCGGTTGACGAGTACCTACCCGTGACCCGATCAAAAAATCGGTACATATATCTTAATTTACTCATCAGTAGTCTCATTAACGGTGAAGATTGTGTAATGTTTTCCCCTTGGAAATTTTGTATCTGTCATGGTTAATTTCATGAAAATTTCTTTTTTTCTTTACTGTATGAAAATTAAGACTTTTAACTATTAAAAGTTTTAAGGATTTTAATGAGGTTATTGATTTTATCTGTCATGAAGATAAATATTTTTTATATATGTGATATCCATTAATTTGTGAAGTAATTGTAATATTTTTGTCGTTACTTTTTATTACAAAGTTTTTAGTCTCAGCTTTTTAATTAAATTTTTATCTTTTTTTGAATTTCGCGCCAAAAGTTCATTTAATCGTCGCCTAGATGGCATGAAAATTCTCTCATAAACGAAATGAGGCGAATAGATGACTTTATAGAATCATTCTAGTAAAATTCTACAAAACTTTTCTGACAGGATTATTCATCAAATTGAAATTTATTCGTTCTTTGAATAAAAATTAGAATTAAGCAGCACATTTTTGAACCTATTATTTACACTGGAAAAAATTGATTTGATTCAAATAACCGATTATTTCTATTATCAAATAAATATTCACTTCAATAAAATAATTTTTATTTGAATCAAGTAAATTGTATTTAAATCAATAATTTCAGTGAATAATTTTTATTTGAGTCAAATAAATTGTATTTTCTTCAAATACTGAAATTATTGATTCAAATAAAAATTATTTGATTCAAGTAAATATTTAATTATTGATAACAGTCGAGTGATCGGTTATTTGAATCAAATAAATTTTCTTTTTATTCTTAAAAACTGGAAAAAAGTAGATGAGCTGGAAAACTTGGAAATGTCAGAAAAATATTGTAAAGTTATGTAAACACCTTGCTTTTAGACTTCTGTGTTGCTTTTTTATATATCTTTTTATATAAAAGTTTGAAATTCATCTTAGATAACATTTTTTTCCAAATGTGAAGAAATACTTTTTTTGACAAGAAAATTATAAAATTGATTGAAAGAAAATTTCCACCTGCACCCAATTCTCTTTCTCTATAGAAATGGATTTTTGACAGTTTCCAATTAGAAGAGAACATCAGGTGAGCACGTGCTACCGAAACAAGCTGCTCGGTATCTCACAGGTTGATGCTTTTTTTGAGTTTTAGAGGGTTCTCGATCTAAAATTTGGAGAAAAAAAACGAAAACAGGTGTTCGTTTTTTGGAAGTTTATATATGCAATTTTGTATACAATATGCGCGAAAGAGGGATGAACTTTAGGACTATTCTTCGATGTAGAAGATTCAACGATCGTTGAACTCGCAATGGTGCTGACAGGACATGTACTCCCACCTTCTCGGTATGAAAAAGTCTCTCTCTCTCTCTCACCTCGCCAACTCACCTGGTTCTCCCAACTTCCCCTTCTGTTGAGAACAAGTCCCCTCTCTCTGCTATTTCTTCAACGCCTTCTCCTCTCCACGCGAATCGTGTGGCGTCGCATCATTTATTTATATTTATTTCATTTGATAAATAGTCGAAATTTTTCTTTTTTTCTTTAAATTTTTTTCTGTGGACATCAAATTGAGACAAAAAATGTATCAAAATTGTTGCGAAGCAACGTTTTCATTGTCTCAATTTGATATTTTTAGAAAAACTGTGATTAAGACGACGAAGAAATCAATAAAAAAAGATAGTGATACTTTTCTGACGTGGTTGGAATTTTTCGAAACTTTATCTTCTGTTAAAGAAAAAATTTTCTCTAAATCACTCGATTTACCTATATTTATTTAATTGTTTTTAAATTATCCTCTTTTGGAGATTTTTAATTTCCAAAGTTTTAGAATATAGTAACGACCATTTTTATGTTCTCTAAATTTTTTTGTATTGGTGTGGGAAACAGTATTTCTTAAAAATGACGTTTATTCTGACGATTATAATCGAAGTTGTTTAAATTGTCGGAGAATTTGAATGTGTGAATGAGCCAATTATCTTCATCTTCTTGCTGATCAGCTAACATATGCGCTTACCTTTACTAAATAATTGCCTATTCAGACACTCAATCCACATTCATGCCGCGGTACCAATCCGGGACTGTCGCCAAGTGTCATATGAGAGCATTTCCACGAAGTCAGATAAAAAGCCTCTAGCAGGTGAAATATGATTTTTTCTGATGGATACGATAGGCATTTAATCATTTTTATTGATGTATTTCTATAATTATTTATATTATGAGACAATATTTTTTTTCAATCAATTGAATTTAATGATGAAAGTTTTGCAAAATTGATACCATTTTTAATTTTGGTATCGACAGGGCTCGAACTATAGGTCTGTAAACCCGCAAAGGTCCATAAATTTGCTTGAAGTCCGTAAAAGTCCATTTTTTTTTAAAAAAGGTCCGAAAAGTCTGTAATTTTATAGTAAAAGGACGAAAGTTCGTGATTTGTACGATATAATTTGGAAAATTTTAGAGAAATTACAAATGATTGCAGAAATTCAATTATTTTCAAAAGTAACAAAATTCTTCGCAGACATTCAATTATGATATACACGGAAAAACCTTTAAGCAGTCTGCTCACCCGAAACTTATGCGTCAGCGCCACCACTAAACTTGTTCATCTGCACTCCCAAACTGGGTGACCAACGTACCCAGTTGTAATTTTCTAAACTTTTTGGGAAGTTTGTCTATCGAAAACGGTAATGCTACGCACCCAGTGGCGGGCGATCAGACTTTCCATGCAGTGAGAAGCGAAATTTTGTGACAGTGGGAAAACAGACTTCTCAAAGGTTTTTCCGTGTAGTATATTTCGTAACGAGTGCGAGCAGTTGCCAATTTTTGAACGAGCACTTTTTTTGGAACAAACTGTAGGCGAAGCTTCGCTTCGCACTAGTTACGAACGATATTTTTCATAACAAGGTGCAAAAAAGTGCCCTTTTTAGCACCGCGTTATGAATAAAAATTTTTTTAAATTCTCATCAAAATTTCAATTATCTTTAGAAATAATAAAATTCTTCTCCGAAATTCAATTATTTTCGAAAATTTTGATAAAATTTTACGACCACATTTAATTATCTTCATAAAATAATAAAAATCTCACAGGAACTCAATTATTTACGAATTTTTTATAAATTTCTTCGCAATAATTCAATTATTTCAATTTTATTGAATTTAAAATGAAATTTGTTGATAAAATTCTTTTGGAACCTCGAATTAATTATTCGAAAATAATAAAATTTGTACAGTGCTTCAATTATTTTCGTAAATAATAAAATTCTTTTTACGAATTCAATTATTTTATTAAATTAATAAAACTCATTGCAGAACTTTAATTTTTTTAAATGCAATTTTAATCGAATTCCTCAAAAATGTAATTATTCTTAAAAATTTTATTAAAATTCGTCGAAAAAATTCAATTATTTAAAAATTTGTTGACAAAATTCTTTATTATTCAATAAATTATTTTTTTTGTATTTAAATAATTGAATTCTAGTAGAATTTTCTAATAAAAATTGTATTTAAAATGGATTTCAGTTAAAATTTTAGACAACAGTTGAATATTAAACGCAATATAACGTGAATTTTTGGAAATAATTGAATTTTGAAATTAATTTTTTTGAAAAATTTTAATTGAATTTTTTTTTTATATTATTTGAAGTTTTTATTTTCTAATATTTATTTAATTGGAGAATTTACGAATAATTATAATTTCGTAAAATTGAATTATGTAAACAAATTAATTTGAAAATTGTCAAAGAACTTTTTACAAAATAATTAAAAATAATTTATTTATAAAGAAGAGTTTTATTTTCAAATTGAATTGAAATGATGAAAATAATTTTGAAAAAGTTATATTATACTTATGAAAAATTTAATTTATAGTTTTAACCCTCCTACGATTTTATCATTTTTTAATTTTGCAGGAAATAAATTTATAATTTTGTTAAAATTAATTTTGACTATTTCATTTTCACTTTGATATTATAAGTACAACGATATTTAGTTTCAAGTTACACTACAAATTTTATTTATATGACTCTCGAATTAAATTTTTTTAAATAAATAAATGAAAGATACACCCCGAGTATACTCGGGTTAAACCGTAGGGGAGGTTAAGAAAAATGTTCTATCTTATTTAATTCGGACTGGTTATATTTTTGTCAGCAATTGGTCTGTACATGGTCCGCAATTTTTCATTTTTAGTCTATAAAGTCCGTATTTTTTTAATTACTTTCACTGGTTCGAGCCCTGTATCTATTTTATAGCTACTGTTTAGTTCCTATTTGGAGTGTATATTTTTAT